CCCCCTCCTCCTTCCCTCAACTGCCCCCCTCATGTCCCCCCTCTCCTGTCCCCTCCTCCCCCCTCCTCCTTCCTTCAACTGCCCCCTCTCATGTCCCCCTCCTCTTCCCCTCAACTCCCCTCTCCCCCTGCCCCCTCCCCCGCTCATGTCTCCCCTCCTCCCCCATGCTCATGTCCCCCCTCCCCTGCCCTCCTGCTCATTTCCCCTCCTCTGCCCCCCTCCTTCCCCCTCCTCCTCCCCTCAACTCTCCCCCCCACCCATTCATATCCCCCCTTCCCTTCCCCCTCTGCTCATGTCACCCCTTCCCCTTGTCCCCCTGCTTATGTTCACCCTGCCCAGGCCTTACAGTCTTTCTTTCCAGAACTGCTCCCTCTGGTCGTGCGTTTTTCTGGGGGGATTTAAGGGAGAAGAAGAGAGGGCAGGTTGGGAGGCTATGTCCTGTAGGTGATGGTTGAGAATCCCAACCAAAGGAAGGCTCCCTGGGTGGACAGACGGAACTCCGGGCAGGAGGTGACATCCCCTTCACACTGTGGTGTCTCTTGGGGAGGGATCTCCCCCAATCTCAATAAACCAGTGCACAGTGTGACTCATCAGCTCATCCCTTACTGAGAACACACTGGGCTTCAGTCCCAGGAGGGGAACTCGGGGGGCTCCATGCTGGTGAAAAGGCCCCACAGCAGAGGGGTGGGAGGAAGGTTTTGTTGGTCCACTGAGGGCCTCTCAAAGCAGGACAGGATTGGGCCGGGACCAGTCAGTGATACTTTAGCCCGTAACTGTGGGGGCTCTGGAGTCGCGGCAGAGCGTCCGTTACCACCACTTGCGGAAAGGTGCCTGGAGCTCCTTGCCTCGTCCTGCTCATCATCATCACTCGGCCCTTTGTCCAGTGGTGCCAGGACCGCGGCCTGGAGTGGTCCTTGGCCCGCGGAGGATGCTGGTGAGTGCCAGGCACTGTCGCTGCTGTTCAAGGACGTGTGTGACAGTGCTGGGTGCTCACTGGAGCCTGGGGCACATGCCTGAGAAGACGCGAGGACCCTCCCTGCTAGGGATCAAGCACCATAGAAGAATGGCGGGTGCTGGTGACCTTGGGCCTAGCGGCCCCTGAGCACCCCCTGCCTTCAGTCTCTGAGAACCCTGAGCAGCTGGCAAGGAAACTGCTGTCAGAGAACAGAAAGTACTGAGTGGTCCATTAGGGCAAGGAAACCTGGGGACTCCTGACTCCTCGAGTTCTCTGAGAGGAGGGAATGATTCCTCGAGTTCTCTGAGAGGAGTGAGTGGTTCCCGAGATCTCTGAGAGGAGTGGATAATTTCGCTCTGAGGTCTCTGAGATCTCTGAGAGGAGCGGATGATTTCTGGAGTTCTCTGAGAGGAGCAGTTGATTCCCCAAGTTCTCTGAGAGGAGGGAATGATTCCTCGAGTTCTCTGAGAGGAGTGAGTAGTTCCCGAGATCTCTGAGAGGAGCGGATAATTTCGCTCTGAGGTCTCTGAGATCTCTGAGAGCAGTGGATGATTTCTGGAGTTCTCTGAGAGGAGTGGGTGATTCCCCGAGTTCTCTGAGAGGAGCAGGTGATTTCTTGAGTTCTCTGAGAGGAGGAAATGATTCCCTGAGTTGTCTGAGTGAAGTGATTCTTTGCAGCTCAGCTTTTGTGTTTCCCTTTGGTACTGTTTGTTTAAAGCAATGCTCACATTTTTGTGGAAGATTGGAGGCCTGGGTGGTCCTCTCACTTCATCGTCCTGTTCGGAAGGCCTTTCTGAAGTCCCAGGAGAGCTGCTGTGGGTTAAGTCCCAGAGCAATGGTTGAACACCAGTCCACTGTGATTATTCACTGCAGGCCATTTGCACGCACTGCAAGTTCCCCTGCTCCCACAGCGGCTCCTTCTCAGGGAAAGGCAAGAAGCCTGTGCGGTAGGCAAGCCTGTGGTGTGGAAAATGTGCTGTTCCAGCCCCAGGGTAGACCCTAAAAGACCATTATTGCTGCCTCAGATGTCTTTTGCACAGCTCTGCAGAGGTCGAGGGTGAGCTAAACGCTGTGGGAATCAGGAAACCAGCTGAGCAGATGCCCTGCTGGAAGGAAGTTGGAAGAGCCAGGTGCTTCCAGCCCTGCCTCTGTGGGGATGGATTCTCCCACAGGCGTGTGACCTTGGAGCTGAGCTTGGAGTCCCCTGGGCTTTGGACTGCCCACCTGGCTGCACTGTGCTTCCCGCCTGGGCACCCACTATCAGAGAATTTCGGGAGAGCTCTATGCCATGTTGGTGGTGTTTCTACAAACAAGTTCTGACTGGGAACACGTGGGCAGGAGCTCCTCTGGGCGCAGCGAGCAACACAGGCTTCCTGGGTGCACGTTCTCTAATGAGTGAGGGTGTAGGTGGAGGCAGAAAGGAGGTAGGCAGGTCTGTAGGTGACAGCTCTGAGGCTCAGGACAGCCCGTAAGGAAGGCGTCGTGCTCTCGAGACCCTCATCTGGCGAGGACACTGTGGCTCGGGCAGAGCGTGTCTGGGGTCCAGGGTCACTCTGCTAACGAGTAGAGCCAGCAGCCAGACTTCTAGTACTGGTGTTCGTTGCTGCACAACCTGTTGCCCTAAAACAGCAGCTTAAAATATGAGTAATTGTTGATCTCCGGGTTTCTGTGGGTCAGGAGCTCACGCAGGGGAGAGTGGGGGAGATACTGGAGACAGCTGAAGGCTGGGGGCTGAGGTCGTCAGAAGGGCCCAAAGATGGGTGATGTCCATCAGTGGAGACCTCAGCTGGGTGGTCCGGTGGAGCCCTAGGCGTGGCCTCTCCACGTGGCCTGGGATTGCTCATGACATGGTGGCTGGGCTCCAAAGGTGTGCATCCTGGGAAACACGGGAGCAGACAGCCGGCCAGGTTGAAGCTGTCTTTTTTTTGGCACAGCCTTGAAAGTCACATGGTGTCACTTCTGCCACGTCCCATTGGTCCAGGCTGTCCCAAGGCCTTGCACGTTCAAGTGCCAGAAACACAGGCCCCACGTCCTGGAATGAATGTCACCCTGTAAAAACGCTCATGGGACAGGATAAATGTGCTGTTGAAGCTGCCTTTGGAAAGAGTGACCCATCACCTGCTGTGTGTGGTCTGCGTCCTCCAGAGACGGTTCATGGTACCTCCTCATACTGCTTGTCTGCACCCCAAGCTGATGGATCGTGCAGCCTCCTGTTAGACCTTGCCTTCTGGATGCTTCAGGGCCAGCCGGAGTCCCTCACTGGCTCTTTCTGCCAATGCTGGTTGCTGCCATGGTCCTTGTGACCTCGGGCCCCTCTGGACTGGTGCCTTTTGGTTTGTTCACTCAGGCTTTTGGAGCAGGGAATTCTTTGCACTTCATGGTCCATTAACATAAGGGAAAATCAGAGAAAGGGTCCCCCCCCCCCAACTCATCCCCAAACAGCTGTGATGTTCAAAACCCGTCACCAATATGGCAGCCCGCCGTATGGCCTGTGGAGTAAGATAGGAGACACTAGAGACTCTCCTGGAAGATAAACTCGGGCTCCGGTGGCGGCAGCCGCCGCCGTGAACGTGCTGAGGCTTTGAGGGTGGGCTGGTGGAATGTTCCCTCCCAGTGTGTGGAGAGCGGTGGGGACAGGGGGAAGACAAATTCTCCTTTTCCTCTACCCATCTCCAGGTCTCCAGCTAGCGGGAGACAGGCTTACAGAGAATGACAAACGTTTTCCCACAGTGACTGCATCATGCTCATAGTGACCTAGGAGCTCGCTAGTGCCCATTCTAGGCTGCACTAAGGGCAAGGGGCTTGGGCTTCTGAGCCCGTTGGGGGAGGAAGTCAGGGAAGGCATGAAAGCACACTGCACAGACAGGCTTGTTTTGCAGATTTAAGTCAATGACTTCATTGATCAAAGTTGTGGAGTCCCCTTGGAATTAGGGAGGGAGGCATCCTCACAGATGCAAAGGGACCTGTGCCTACCTTTGCTTAGCGCTTTTCCTGCACCGCTGGTCCTCAACGGCCTTGGCTCAAAATAATCCATATGCCAAAGAGGCCTATTTTGGTTGTGGGTTCTGGTGCCCTTCAGGAGTGAGGGATTGATTCTGCATGGGAGAAACGGGAAGCCTGGCTCTGTGATGAAGTGGGAGCTGGACCCCATGCATGGTTTTGGGGTGATGGTGGGATTGGGAGCTGATGGCCAACAAAGAATTCTTGAAGGCGTCTTTGGTGCAAAAAGGTGATTATAAAATAATAAAGGCACGAGGACAGGACCCATGCGCAGGAAGAGCTGCACTGGGGTTGTGAAGAGTGACTGGTTACATGCTACAGAGCTGGGGGAGGTAAAGTAAAGACGAATTTTCTTAAAGAGATTTCCATATGCTAAAGAAGACTCCTTACTGGAGGCCTGGCTGTCTTCAGGCTAAGGTTGTTTTCCGCCTAGCAAAGCATCAACATAAGACGGAGTTCCTGGAGATGACGCTACTGATAAGATTGCCCTTTTCCCCTGATATCACTAAAATGTTTATAAACTGATGGAGATGATATCAGTTTAACTATTTGTTTTCTGTTCTTCTTCCTTGGGCAGCAGGAGAACCTGAGGAATAGCACACACATCCCACCTTGGGAGTGGTGCTGTCTGAGGAATAGCACACACATCTCACCTGAGGGGGGGGAGGTGCAAGCTGAGGAATGTTGCACGTATCCCATCGGTGGGGGGGGGGGGGGGAGAGGGTGCTAGCTTGTGCCTGGCCCTCAGCTTGCCCCACCCCTGCCATCGTTAGTGTCTTAACTATCCGGTGGGTGCCTCAGAAGGGAACCAGTGGCCAGACTTGAATTTGCAACTAAAACCCAGAGGTTCTTGAATGACACCTGTAAATACTTCTGGCTCAAGCATTGTACCAGGTGGATGGCTAAGTGCCTGTCCCCGTGGGACCTAAGTCTTACAGGCTTCAAGCATTTGTAAGCGTCCCACTTCCCAGTTTTTCCCAATTCAGTAGCTTCCATGCATTCCTAAAATAATGTCCACCTTCCTCCTTAATCATTCAGGTCCCTGATTTAACTCCTCCCACATCTTCCCACCATCATGCACAACATGCCTTAGCTCTTTGCACGCAGTAAATCAGTGAATATCTCCTATTAATTTTGCTTCCTCTGCCGTGGTTCAAACCTCTCAGAAGAATCCTCTGCTTCCCCGGGCACCCAAGCACTCATACACTTTGTTCTTTTATTCTGGGTTCCTTGGACCTCTTGTTTGCCTTTGAAAATTAGTAACGGAAATCTCACCACAATGGAGTCCAGAGGCCGGCAAGGGGCGCTTCAGGCCCAGCACTGCTGGTCAAATGCAGACCTGATAGGAAGAGGGGGGCTTGACCTTGCAGGTGGAAACCATTCAGCTACTCCAGCAGGAGCCCCCCTCCCCCAACAGCTCAGGCACTGAGAAGCCACCACACTCCCAAGTTCCCAGTTTACTCCAGTGGACTGTTAGCTCATAACAGCCTTCTCAACGTGATGTGGGGAACAAAGACAAAAGAAAATAATTTTCTTTGCAACTTGCAGCCCATTGACAAGTCCTTGAGACACGCACTGTGACCTTCTTCTGGGAGCTCAGCTGCCTTGATGTCAAAACTTTAATGTAACATTATCTCAACCCCCAGGATCCTTTAACAATCCCTTTGGGGACTTCCTTGATCTCAACTGCCCCAAGGTATATGCCGGCAATCATCCTCCAAGCTTATAGCCCCTGATACACATCTGGAGGGTCTCATAACTGAGATTTTACGACTCTGTAGTCAATAACCTTTTCCTAACAGGAGCTATCCCTTCAAAGTCCTGGGAAACTTGCTCCCAAATCCCTTACAGACTTACTTATCCCCACTAAGACCATATAATCAGTCCCTCCTTACAACCCTAGTGCAGCTCTTCCTGCCCATGGGTCCTGTTCCTGTGCTTTCATAAAACCATGTTTTTACACTGAAGATGCCTCACGAATCCTGGGGCGCCTGGGTGACTCGGTTAAGTGTCTGCAGTTCAGGTCATGATCTCATGGTGCCTGGGTCCAAGCCCCGTGTCAGTCTCTGTGCTGACAGCTCCTTCAGGTTCTGTCTCCCTCTCTCTCTGCCCTTTCCCCACTCATGCTCTGTTTCTCTCTCAAAAAGAAACGTTAAAAAAAGTAAAAGAGAAAAAAGCCAACTACATTAAGTTCTAGGGAAGTTGTGCTTTAAAAAGAAAAGTCTTTCTTGACCATTCGCTTTGAACCAACATTTTCTCATCCACCTCATCCCTTTTGTCCTTAAAATGTGTGCTCTCTCCTCTGTCCCCTGGACTTGCCTACCTGTTTGTCCCAGATTGTAATTCTCTTTTTTCCTTGTGCTGGTAAAATGACTGGCAGTTTTTACTAAGGCCAAGAGCCTCGAAGTCACTTGTGTGGTGCTTAATCAGGCTAGAAATATGCCTCTGAGCATCTGTATCTTCTCGGGACACTGAGGATTGTGGTTGACTAATCTTAGTAGAGATTTTCTCCTGAAGTTTCTAGTAGATAACTTTACACATAGAATTAATTCAGAATGAGATGCTAGTTTTAAGCCTGTGTTAAAGCATTTATTCAACAAATCAGGTTTCATTAAAAGTTTCTTAGACTGCTTCATTTAATTCTCTGTCATATTTCCACACCAGGGCCTCCGTGTGAACAGAGCTGATAAAGAGGCAGAAAGACTGGAGGTTTCCAGATGCCAGTGAGAGGAAGAGGGCAGACGTGGTCATGGGAAAAAGAAATTACCTAAGCGATTTGAAAAGTGGAATTAAGGTCAACATTACTTGTGGGGATGAGATTAGGATATTAATATAAGATGGGGGAATCTACATTAAGATCAGGACATAGTCTAACATGAGGCGGAGGAGACAATAAAATTACTCTGGACGGATGGCTGGAAAGAGGAGGATGGAGAGAGTTAACACAGCTGTTCTGTGCATGTTCAGCCAAAGCCACTTTGTGTTGGGACTAGAATAAACATAGGATTTTTCTTTTTTTTTTCTTTTTTTTTTTTTAACTTTTAAGTTTTTTTTTTTCAACGTTTAGTTATTTTTGGGACAGAGAGAGACAGAGCATGAATGGGGGAGGGGCAGAGAGAGAGGGAGACACAGAATGGGAAACAGGCTCCAGGCTCTGAGCCATCAGCCCAGAGCCCGACGCGGGGCTCGAACTCACGGACCGTGAGATCGTGACCTGGCTGAAGTCGGACGCTTAACCGACTGCGCCACCCAGGCGCCCCAGGATTTTTCTTTTCTTATCAGCATGTACCAAAGAGAACTTGGAATTGCCAATGCCATGGAAAAGCTAAGAGACCACATCTGTGGGATTAGGACCTTCCAGAAAGCTTTACACATTTTTTGGTAGATATTTATTTATTTAATCCTTTGCTCATTTATAGAATTAATTGGATGCCAATTTTCTGCAACATTTCAGTCCTTGCCTTCTGAGAGCCTGAAATCCAGGGGTGGAGGTGTGTGTGAGCCAGGAACACAAACCATGAGCTGTAACAAAACTTCCAGCAGCTTTGAGGCATGTGATAAACTCTCACTCCCAGGAGGAAACCTCCTTCATGTGGAAAATCAGATTTCTAGATTGGGATGATTTCCTCAAAGTTTGCTGAAAGGCTGAGACTTCCTACCTGGGCTAAAGAGGCACTGTTTGTACCAAAACACAGGGTTAAGAACACAGACTTGACTCCACCCACCTGGGTACCAATCACTGACCTTCTTCAGCTGCTACTTAAACTGTGCCTTACTTTTTTTTTTTTAAGGCTTATTTTTATTTATTTTGAGAGGGAGAGAGAGAGAGTGAGCAGAGAGAGGGAGAGAGTGAGCAGGGGAGGGGCAGAGAGAGAGGGAGAGAATGAGCAGGGAGGGGCAGAGAGTAAGCAGGGAGGGGCAGAGAGAGGGAGAGAGAGAGCAGGGGAGAGGCGGAGAGGGGGAGAGAGAGAGAGAGCAGGGGAGGGGCACAGAGAGAGAGGGAGAGAGAGAATTCCAATCAGATTCTGCATCATCAGTGAAGAGCCTGATGGTGGACTCGATCTAATGAACCCTGAGATCATGACCTGAGTGGAAATCAAGAGTTGGATGCTCAAATGACTGAGCCATCCAGGCGCCCCAAAATATCTTTCTTAGTTTGTGCATCTGAAAAAGCTAGTATCTGCTTCGTGGTGTTGTGACAGGGATTGATGCGTTAATATGTGTAAATTACTTTAAATGGTACCTGAAATGTGTACGGGTATGTGTATTGTACACACCTTTCCTCAGGTAGGTAGGTCCCTCCCCCGACATCAGGCGCAGTGCCGAGTGCAGCCGGCAGAGGGCGCCAGAGCCCGCGTTGTGCAAACGGTCCCGTGCCTCCGCGCGGCCAGGGCTCTGGGGGTTCTGCAGGTTGGCCTGCGGATCCGGGCAGGGCCCTTGGGCACTGGGAGTGGCGGGGGTGGGGGTGTGGGTGTGGGGTGGGGAATGCAGGTACCCAGGTGACCCGTGGCCCCGGGCGGGGGTGGGGAGGAGAAGGGGGGGCGGGGGAGAAATGCTGGTGCCCAGGTAACCCATGGGCATTGGGGGCGGGATGCAGGTGCCCAGGTGACCCCCTGGATGCTTGGGAAGAAACGCTGGTGCCCAGGCGACCTGTGGACTCCGGGAGGGGGCGGGGAGAAATGCTGGTGCCCAGGTAAC